TGACACATCCAAACACAGAAACCTTAGCCAGCATGAAGAGAGACGAGCTATGGAGCACAGAAAAACACCAAGGTTTTCTTTTTGTTTCTGTCAACACACTCTGCTGAGTGAAAGAGGCCAGTCTGAGCAAGCTATGCACTATAGTGTTCCCATCACACGGCATTCTCAAACAGGCAAAGCTAGAGACAGTAAGAATCCAGAGACTGCTCAGAGTTCAAGGACATCGGGGCAGGATGACAAGGTGTAGGGGAGGGTATACTCAGAGCAGTGAAATTACCGGGCATGATACGGTGATGGTGGGTATATGCTGTAGGTTTCAACAGCTTCGTAGACCCACCATCACATACCCACCATGCAGCCCCAGCCTGTAACAGCCACGTGTTCATGGCAGAGCATGAGGCCACAGTTGAGGTTCTACTACAGCCTACCACAATGGCTGGGTATATGAAGCTGCTGAAACCTACAGAACATCAAACACAGAGCGCAGCCTCATCTAAACCATGCACCCGAATAAACAAACAAATAGCATCAAACTCACTGCCAGCTAGTCAATGCTGGCTCATAGCGACCCGCTGGGTTTCTGAGATGGTAACTGGATATGTGAGTAGAGAGCTATCTTTCTCCCGAGGAGTTGCTGGTGTTTTCGAATCTCAGCCCAGCTCATAAACACTCCGCCACCAAGGCTCCTTCCACCTTGTAAGAAAGGTGTGATTGCTAGCGCGTCAATTGGAACAAACACACCACACCAGTGCAAGATGTTAATATGAATGGCAACTGGGGGAGGGGATATGGGAACTCTATTTCCTGCACAATTTTTCTGTAAAACTAAGTGTTCTAAAATTTTTTTTGTTTTTAAGCCAGGACAGAACCTTGAGGGGAAAGAAGAGTTAACCTAGGGCTTGGGAGGATGGGCTTGGTGCTTCCGATACACAGCTTCTTCACAAACCTGTGGGAGGGTGCATTTATTACCCACATGTATGAAGATGAAGACGTGCATGTATGGGAAGCTTGTCACTTGCCCAGGTCAGGGCATGCAGGATCTACTGGATGGTGGTATGGTGTCGGGGGTCCACTGACCCGATTTTCCGTCTTGGGGAGCCCCAGAGGCCCTGCTCTGACCTTGGGGTCACTATGAGTCAGAATGGGCTCCAGGACAGTTGGCATTTGGGTTTTTGGGTTTTATCTATGCTTCTTTGAAAAACACTTTTCTGTGTGGAGAACTGCAGCAAGTGGTGAAATGTTGCCGTCATCCAGGCCAGAGATGATGGTGCTTATGGGAAATGGGGAGACGTGGTTGTGATTCACCCTGGGGGTGTGTGCGGCAGGACACAATTAGGCCGAGGGCAAGGACGAGCCAAGGGTGACATCTGAGTGCTTGGCCTGAGCACCTGGGGAGATGGCACTGCCGTAGACGGCAAAGCGGGAGAGCTGGGCATGAACAAGCCCTGGGCAAGGGAAGTGGAACGTGGGAGCGGCAGTGGGACTGGTGTGGCCCGTGAGGACCGAGTCCACGGAAAAGGAGAAAAATGCCAGAGACCGAGGAAGACCGAGGAAGACAAGAGAACAAGAGAACAAGAAAACAGTCCCAGGGGCAGAGACAGGGAACAGGTTCTAGAAAAACCAGATCGCAGATGGAGATGTCAGCGTTAGCTTTCTCCCTGTGACGCCCGGCTCTTCCCTCCGGGTTTCTGCATTCGGAGCCCTTTGAGCTGGGAGCGCATTCCCACCGCGACCCTCACTTAAGACAACCTTGCAGGTCCTTCTGGTTCTTGGCTCCGATGTCACCTCCCACAGGGCACTCGGGACTCTCTGATCTCATGGAGACAGACTCTACTGCCTCTCCAGTGGTATCACTGCTGTGCATGCCGGACCTACTTCAAATGAGACTGGAGGGAAGGAGGGAGAGGGGTGAATAGTCAGCAGGCACCTCAGAGCCCTCCCATGTAAGGGGTCAGTTCCATGACAGTGGCGGGTGGAACTGGGGTTCAGGAGACACCAACAGGGCTGGGGGCAGCTGGTGGGTCTGCTAACCGTGTTCATCTGGTGCCACGCCCACCCCGAGCTGTCATGGAACCACGCCGCCCTCCAGGAGGCGGAATCAGTCAACCAGATGAAGAGATTAGACCTCTGTCCCCTCTGTGAATGCGCTCCCCGCCCTAAGTCATCGAGATTCTGTGAAAGGGACAATCTGATCGGAGCTCCCCCTTACCCAGAGGCCTCTGCACGACCTGGAGCCCTGCAGCTCTCGCACAGCATCTTTGGGATCTTTGAAGGGACCAGCGCTGCCGTTCCACATAC